GTCAGCCTGAGGTTTTTCTTGATGAGTCGTATTGCCATTTAAATCACATCTCACACAACACTTGGCTTCCCATCATGGTGTCGTTTTAGCTCCTTGGCATGGTCTATTGGTAGTAATTTTTGAAGCAATTATAGTATTCGAAATGGATCTTCCAACAAACTACAGGTGAACTTGTTCCAAATTCTGTTCATATTTGGGACCCAACGATTAAGCCTCCAGGAAACCGAGGACAAAAAAGAAAGAACGTTAAATAATGGAATGATATTCTGGATGTTGTTAAAGGTGCAAATATCATTTCTGACCAAGTGGATTACCATAGTAACTTCTATGGTTATATTTTTGAAGATCTTTTTTCAAATCTTTGTAAAACACTTTATGAAAAGTATAGGTTGGTAATCATTCATATAGACGGGGCAACCTATCATAAACGGCGAATCGAAAATATTCCAACATCAAGTGCAAAAAAAACAAGAAATGTTTGACTGGTTGACTGCTCATAATATTTCTTTTTCTGGCGAATTAAAAAAACTGAAGCTCTTGGATTTAGTTCAAAAAAATAAAGAGAAGGTATCATTTGCTTGTGTTGAAATAGCAAAATGATACAATCATCAAGTTTCTTACACCCACCATATCACTGTGAATTTCAGCCCATAGAGGGTGTTTGGGCAGTTGTAAAGGGTGAAGTTGCACATTTAGGTTCCTATAAAATCTTTTGTCCATTCATAATATACTTTTAGATTCATTTAAAACCAAAATCAATTCAAAAATTATAGTTGGGTTTTGGAGAAAGGCACTTAAATATGCCAAGGATTATTTTGAGTCCGACAAAAATGCGCAGCTAATCGATGAAGAAATTGATGATATTTATAGTTTGGATAGTGACATGGATTTGATTTAAAATTTATATTTTTGTATTTCCCAATTTGTATAGAATTATTTGAATAAAAAAAAATATATATTGCTTAATAATTTTTTTTTTTATTTATATTTTCTTGAGGTGCAAATCTTTTTGCACCGGACCATATTATATAATCATATTATTTTATATCTTATTATAATCATAAAAATCATTTATAATTCTGAAATTATCATATTTTTATCATAAATACATGAATATAAATTTGCTGGTTTCTATAAGGATATACGACTATAAAATAAATATTAAAACTAAATAATGTTAAATATAATCAAAAACACCAATATGTTAATTTGGAATTTTTTAAAAAAATACTAACCTCGCTTTGCAATGTATTAATATGTTCCGAACTGTGTTTGTCTTTATTATGATTCAGAACTGTATTTTTCTTTATTACGTGGGTCACTAGGATCAGCACCATCAACAGAACTATATTTGCCATTATTACGTGCGTCGCTAGGATCAGCTCCATCAACAGAACTATATTTGCCTTGATTACGTGGGTCGCTAGGAACAATTCCACCAACAGAACTATATTTGCTATTATTACGTGGGTCGCTAGGATCAGCTCTATCAACAGAAATATATTTGCCTTAATTACGTGAGTCAGGATCAGCACCATCAACAGAACTATATATACCTTTATTACGTGGGTCGATAGGAACAGCTCTATTTATTACGTGGGTCGTTAAGACCAGCTCCATCAATGGATTTAAGAGGTACTGGTCTGGCTATAACAGTTATTGTTGACAACAAAACGACAAAAATAAGAATGTTTATTGTAATTGATTTCATATTGAAATGGAGTCTTAAACAAATTTTTTTATGATTATTTCAATCAGTGGGTTATAAACCGATGAATTTTTTGTGGGTATAGTGGTGAAATACGCCAATTTATAACTCTTTAAAATTTTAAAATGATTATGATTCATTGAAAAGGATTTTCTATCAAATAATTCCGGACCTAATCCTTATTAGTAATGTCCGAAATTTGACTTGGCATTCAAATATTTGATGCCGGATATCTCAATCAATAGTAGACAACTGCTTTAAACTTGTTTCATATTCGTAATGACTAATTTTGGAGATTAGATCTATTAAAGTGTTTCTGAATTAAAAAAATAGCGTATTTCGGAAATAAGTGGGAGTTTAAGAAAATCTTATTTGCGCATCAATATTTTGAAATCAGAAAATAAAATGGGAGTGTTTAAAGATACCCATATGACGAAATAAATAAACCTTTCAACGAGAACAATCATTATTACAAATTTATCGTAAAATAAATAAAATCAATACATCGATCGCTCATTTGAAAATAAATACGTTATCTATTTCTGGCGATCGTCTAAAGCCAGGTAGTTTTTAAGTTAAATTTGTAATGTAAAAGTCACGTAAGGCATATAAATTACTACTTGGCTTTAGACAATCCCCATTTTTGTCAAAATTAGATTCCCGTACGTTAATTCTGAAACCCTTAATTAGGTGGAACTCATGCTTGCAAATTAACGAAATTAAGTATACATTTATTGTGTGAATAACAGTAATTTGGCAAATGAACACATGCCGCAAAAGACACGTGCAGCCAATCATTTGCCAAATTACTGTATTCGTAAATTTGCCCAATAATGGTGTTACAGTATCCGGCAATTTATAATCATGATTGGTAGGAGTTGTTGGCTAAATAAACACGATTACATCATATCACATGAAAAAAATGAAAAAAATAACATGCAGAAATTAATTTATGATCATATGAGTTTGCCGGATAACTGCATTATTTACATAAAAGGATTAACTTTCTTTTATCATTGGGGTTTCAGCATTACAGCTGTTTTCATAATTCCTGGAACACCTGATAAAAATTGACCGAACAATACTGTCACAGGTAAAACCACGTGTTCCTAGAATTCAAGAATCATGTGATTGACCTACGAATCGTTACGCAAAAGACCGTTACACTGCAATGCCCTGGACTAGTGTTTCAAGCCGGCTAGAGCAGCCGTAGCTAAGGCAGCTTAGCCGGCTAAGCTAGCTGATAAAAATGTATCAGCTGGCTAATGCAGCTTAAGATCACAAGACTTTAATAGTATAATTTAGGCCGAAGTGATAATGCCAGGCAGAATTAAGTAATAGAAGATAAAAGGTTCCGAAAAGAAAAATGATCGAACATAAAATACGAGCAAGAATAACAAAAAATTTGAGTAAATATTCGAAAATTTCTAAAAATAAAAAATTTGGCTTTAGTTATTAGCCAGCCGCTTAGCCGATTTTTTTGCCGGCTGGCTAAGCCAGCCGATCAAAACTTCATGGCTTGAAACACTACCCTGGACCCACGATTTCCAACGGGGGTAAAATAAGCACCCTAAAATGTTTCATAACCAATCAAATCTCAAGATCAGGTGTAACGTAACACGATCAAAACGTTCGTTTTGTCAAAAATCGCCTATAACCCAAAATTTTAGTCTATGAAACTGCCTTCTGCGCATTAAATAAAAGTTTTTCTTGTAAAATTTTGTTATAAGATGTATTTTTAGATACCGATATAATAGCAAAATCCCTAAAAAAAACAAAATTTTACTTGAAACTTTTTTTCTACCCTCGTACGATTTCCACACAACGATCATATGCAAGCAAACCTGTTGAAGCCAGGCCCTCTGTATGGAAGCATTGAACATAGCTGCCGCACCAAAATTTCACGGATGATCCTCGATTTTGATTGGCTATTCTATGTAAACAAATAAACAAATAAATTCCGAGGCTGCAGATCATTTACAACCTGACTCCGGATGCTGAAACTCACTAATTGAAATTTTAATTTTTTTTTAAAGTTTGAATGAAGATATCTCGACAACTGTATAACCAAATTTTATAATTTTTTTTTTAATTTAATTCTGCATATTTGCAGAATTAAAATAATAAAAAAATATAAAATTTGGTTACTTAGTTGCCAGAATATCTTAATTCAAATTTTTGAATTTTTTTATCACAACTTAATCATTTTAATTTATGAAATTTATTTTTTTAATTATGCTTAATCATTTCAATTTATTTTTTTACTTAATTACTTTATTATTATTATTAAAATTTTTGTTTAAACATATAAAATTTATTTATTTAATTTTATTAAAAATTTTATTAAACTATATAATTTATTAATCAGTTTAAATTTACAATACTATCAATACAAATGTTGGAGCCAATGTTGACTCCAATGTTGAAGCCAATGTTGAAGTCAATGTTGACTCCAACGTGAAGCCAATATTAACTCCAATATTGAAACCAATATTAAAGCCAATGTTGGCTTCAACGTTGAAGTCAATATTGAAGCCAATATTAACTTCAACATTGAAGCCAATGTTGAAGCCAACATTGACTCCAACATTGAAGCCAACATTGAAGTCAATATTGATTCCAATGTTGAAGCCAATGCTGAAGCCAATATTGAAATTAATATTGAAGCCAATATTGAAGCCAACATTGATTTCAATACTGACTTTAATATTAAAATCAATATTGATTCCAATATTGACTCCAATGTTGAAGCTAATATTAAAGCCAATGTTGACTTCAATATTGAAGCCAGCATTAAAGCCAATATTGAAGCCAATATTGACTCTAATATTGAAATCAATATTGATTCCAATGTTGAAGTTAACATTAGCCTCAAAATTAAAAAAGCAATGAAAGAAGCATTGAAAAAGTGATAAAAAAAGCACTAAAAAAGTGACAAAAGAAGAACTAAAAAAACAATGGAAGAAAAGCTAAAAAACAACAAGAGAAAAACTGAAAAAATAATAAAAAAAATTACTGAAAAAAATAATGAAAGAAGCACTGAAAAAGTGACAAAAGAAGTGTCAAAAAAGCAATGAAAAAAGCATCATAAAGTGATGAAAGAACTACTAAAAAAATAGTGAAAGAAGCACCAAAAAGTGATAAAAGAAGCACTGAAAAAACTATGAAAAAAGTATAAAAAGGTGACAAAATAAACAGAAAAATAGTGGAAAAAAAACTAAAAAAGCAAAGAAAGAATCAAAAAAAGTGATGAAAGAAACACTGAAAAAGCAAAAAAAAATACTAAAAAATGATGAAAGAAGCACTAAAAAAGTGATAAAAGAAATATTATAAAGTAATAAAAGAACCACAAAAAAATAGCAAAAAAAGCACCAAAAAAGTGATGAAAGAAGCACCAAAAAAACAATGAAAGAAGAACTGAAAAGTGATAAAAAAAGCACTAAAAAAGCAATGAAAAAAGCACAAAAAAATGACAAAAGACGTATTAAAAAAGTGATGAAAAAAACAAAGAAAAAATAATGAAAGAAATACTAAAAAAATGATAAAAAAATTAATTTTAGTATCCAAGTAAACAAATAAACAAAAAATCTGATTTGATTTAGAATCAAAGCTCAGAGCCAGATTAAAAATGATTGTTTATATTGAATAGCCAATCAAAATTGAGAATCATCTATGAAATTTTGGTACAGCAGCTAGATTCAATATTTAGAAGTATTAAACAATGATCCAATTAAAGCTAAGCCCCATCAATAATTCTATTGAAGAAAAAGATATTTACCTAATTTGGTTAATAGCTGTCAAGATAATATTAACTTGTTGGATAAGGTGGGTAGCTATGAAAGAGAAAAGTACATGGTCTAATAAAAGAGTCAATAAATAAATTAATAGAATTGATGAGTAAAAGATGATAATAACATAGAAGCCTTCATTTGACTTGTCTTCTTCTTGCTTTCTTTTTTTATTCTATCAAAGCTTTAATAAGAATAGCTGTGAGTAATAGTTGAGATTAGACTAGAAAAGAATCAAGTGGCTTGAGTTAATGACAGTTTAATAACAATTGATAGAAGAAAACATTTGATCTTGTTCTTTTCTTGCCTATAATTTTGTTATAAATAAGAGGCCCGAATCTCTCTTGTAAAAGCATATCAAAGTGTATGTACAATTTGTCTTTTATACAATAAATTTTTTAATAAAAGCTCTTGAATAATCTTAATTTAAAATGTTCTTTATAAATTGTATTGAATTATTTATCTAACAATACTCAGTAGATACTTGGATTTGTGCTAAATCAATAACTGCCTTTTCTCTCTACTAAGCATTGTCAATCAACCTTGTTCTCTCTTAAATGCCAGATTATCATTTTCCTTCTCTTTTGTTAGAGGTGTAATTTGAGTTGATTAGCCTCTGGCTGATTCGATTAAGTTATTGATTTCAGTATGATCATACATATATAAATTAGACCAGGATAAAATTGCCACCCAAAAAGTTTTGAATATCATATAACAAATATGTTAAGCATCAAAAATTTATGTAACTTTGAACAAAAAAATATAACTGAAAAAATTTATAGACTAACAAATGATAATGATAAGTGATTTTGTTTATTTCGAATAAACTCAATAAACTTAATATTTATAATAGCCAGAAAGTATTATAGTTATAGTTTTTTTAAGCATTTGGAATATTCTATTGTCTTTTAAATAATTATAATCCAATTCTGATTTATCAAAGTTTTTATTAATACTATCAAGCTATTAGTTACTATTAGGATTCATTTTATTTTTTTCAAATTTTTTGTTGTATTCTGGTTCCAGATCATAAAAATTTTTTGCTTAAATAAATAAGCAAAGTTATAATCTTCTGGAAGAGTATTAAAAATGAAGTTTGAAAGATTTTTGATTAGTTTTATAATTTTATTATGATTTTCATTTTTTTTATTTATTTATTAATAGTGAAAATTTGGTTACGGTAATTAAAGTATATAACAATATTTAAAATATCAG